TTTTTTTTTTTGTATTTATGAATTATATACTGCAATAATAGTAGACATTTTTATTACATTTTTTTTTAAACAAAAAAGGAGCTTTATCTTGTCTAAGCATAGCTGCCCACGGGCAGACTGAACCCCAGACCTCCGACACCACCTCCTCCGCCCCCATTTTCTCTCTCTCTCTCTGCCGCAAATTAGGGTTTTTGCTTTTCTCTCTCACTCTCTCTCTCTCTCTCTACACTCTCCCAAAATTGGAGCGTCAGATTGGAGGGAAAATCTGCGCAGCTTCTTTTCGATCTGAACTGAGAAAAGAATACTGGTGGAGATGGCCAAGACGAAGCCGGGGAAGAAGGACCTCGATTCTTACACTATCAAAGGGACTAACAAAGTTGTAAGACGTATGTTCATATTGCTCTTGCTCGCTGTATTAAATTACATTTTCTTTCACTTTTTGGTCTTAGGTTCGATGCATTTTTCAATTTGTTTGAAAATGGTTTCCAGTTTACTGGTGTTTTGTGGGCATGTAGCTGAGTTATCCAAAATGTCGACTTTTTTACCTTTTCAGTTATTTCTGTTTTTGTCCCTCTTAGCTGAGTTATGTTTTCTTTTTTCATGTTAATTGGATTTGGAACTTGAAAAATGGCATCAAAAAATTATGGTCATTAGCAGCTCAAGGGTTTCTTGTAGGCTTCCTTAGTTCCGACATTTTCTTATCTAATCTACTTCTGATATAGTTTCTTGCAAGTGCGTATGTGGGATAGTCTTAATTTATATTCAGTTCATGTTGAGCTTTTTGGTTTGTGAGGGTGGTGATGAAAGTTTGGATCTTTTATTAGGAAAAATTATAAAGATACCCCATTTTTTCATTGTGTTGGCAAAAATACTACATTTGTCTTTCATAGCTAATAAAATGGCTGGTTTTACAACCAAAAGTTGTATTTTTTTTGCAAAGAAAGAGTGGATAGGTAGATTTTTGGTAAATTATCATTATTACTATCTATTTCCTTCATTTTTGTTTACATACAGTTGACAAGGTGTTGAATTCTGTGAAACCACTTGTAGACTATGCTTGAACTACCCATTTCCGTATTTAGGTAATCCTTATATGTTTTTTCTTTCCGTTCTTTCTTAGTGTTCTTACATACATGATCCACTAGAATTACGAACCCACGATAACTTACATTTGACACAGTCAAGTCAAGACAAAATTTTGGGCTCATAGTGAACTAATTTTTATTTTTTTTATTTTTTTTATTGCTTGCGCCTCTTATAGCTGGTGACTGTGTGCTGATGAGACCCTCTGATTCAGACAAGCCACCATATGTGGCGAGAGTTGAGAAAATCGAGGCAGATCACAGGAATAACGTGAAAGTGAGGGTCCGCTGGTATTACCGGCCTGAAGAGTCGATCGGGGGCCGAAGGCAGTTCCATGGGGCCAAGGAGCTCTTCCTGTCAGACCATTTTGATGTGCAGAGCGCCCACACCATCGAGGGAAAATGCATCGTGCATACTTTCAAGAACTACACCAAGCTAGAGAATGTGGGCACGGAGGATTACTTCTGTAGGTTCGAATACAAGGCTGCTACCGGGAGCTTCACTCCTGACCGTGTTGCTGTGTGAGTTTTCTTTTTCTTTTTCTTTTTATTTTTTTTCTTACAATTTGAAATTCGAGGCTAAATGATATTGAAATCACAAATTAGCCATGTGGTTATCTAATTTCAAGCTATTTTTTTCGGGGGCTTTGTATTTCTGAAGCTATTGCAAGTGTGAGATGCCTTATAACCCGGATGATCTCATGGTGCAATGCGAAGGATGCAAAGACTGGTACTGCTGAGTTAGTTTTACAACCAATATTCAGTTACATTGCATGGTTTTTCCTATTTATCACGATAACAATATTATAAAAATGTCAGCATGTTTATCTGTGGTCACTTGTTTTGATGTGCTTAATTTGCTGTATGTGTAGTTGTGAATGTGTGATGTGCTTAATTTTCTGTATCTGAGGTCACTTCTTCTTTTATTGGCACTTCCGAATGCCATCATGCGAATCATCTGTTGGCTCGTCTTGTTCATTCTTTTTTTTTTTTTATTTCCCTGGTCCTTAGAAATTAATGCGATTTTGCTTCTTCAGTTTAAATACTTGCAAATTGCAACCTCAAATATGTGAGTAAGTGTTTAAAATCTCAGTATCTGAGTTAGGTTACTGTTTTTATTGGTGACACGTGGATTTCTATGCTCTTGCACTTTTATCAACTGAAGTAGTTTCTTACTTATTTTATGGCTTCCATATCTCGCTTTGTGAGCATTAGGTAACTCTACATAATGTTTTTTTTGTTATTATTATTTATTATTAAAATTTTTTGCTTTAAGGTTTCATCCTTCTTGTATGGGCATGACAATTGAGGAAGCCAAGAAATTGAACCAATTCTTGTGCTCTGATTGTTCGTCTGATGATGACGCCAAAAGATCTATGAACTCGTCTCCTGTATCAGCAACTGGCGAGGCAAAGGTAAGCTAAAAAGAATGGATATTATCTGCTGTTAATGATTTCAGTTGCTGATGTGTCAACTTTGTATTTTCCTTACAGATAGAGTTATATATGTAGATATTACTTTGCAATCTTTCTGACTTAATGTGTCAACTTCATAAATCATAATGCTTTGTTACGTTATCTAACAAATCGTATTACACGTATCATTTTGTTTTCTGAAGAAGTTTCTCTAACTCTCGGTTATTTGTGTTTCCTCCTTTTTTTTTTTTTAATTTAAATATATCACTAGGTGGAGCCAAAGCGCAGAAAAAGATGACAGAGTTGTACCACCTTTTTCCCCGAAAAGCATATGTTGTATTGTGTAATTGTACATTGCAGAGAAGATAAGCTTTAAAACGAAAGAACTAAAGCCCTAATTTATGTTGAAATTGTCATCTGTTAATGTATCTGTCTGTGTCGACTGGGTGATTAAGGACTACTCGATTCTGCCTTATTGCATGGATGCAATTAATTCGAATCTTCCCCCGAAACATGAAAAACTATCCTCGTCTCATTAGTTCTGCATTTTCCAAATTATCGATGTTTGTGTTTTTGTTTATGTTCTTATTTGGGTGCATCTGTTGTTTTCATGTTTGTGTTATCACTTTATGTTTTCATTGTTTTGCTATATGTGTTGTAATTTAGTCAACAGTTCCATTCAGCTAGTTTGTATTTTGTAAGCAACGGTAATAATTTTTTTTTTGGCTTTTCATACATAATTAAAAGAAGGCATTAAAGACTATATTTAGACCAAATTTGTCTGGTTCCAAACTTGTTCATATCGTATAAATAATGTATTCAAAGGCCAATCAAATGTTAAAGAAACATCATCACATTGAATCACAGATTACTCCATTAGATTGAGTTTTTTACTTTCATCTGGCTTACAACACAGAAAAAACGCAGACAACACTAAAAACAACACGAATTTTAACACAGGTCTCGATTAGCTAGTAAAGAAAGTTGTAGCTTTCCTCGACAAATCATTAACCAAGAAAACTTGTACGAATTACTGTCTCTTGATATTTTGTGCTCTGAGGGCATCTCCAATGGTAATAGTTATTACTAGCTATATGGTGAGCTGACGTGGATTTGAGAGATAAAAAAAATAACTATTTTACACTATTGGACCCACGTACTCCTTTCACATAATCTTGGGCTACGTGAAATAGATAAGCTATTTGTTAGTAGCTAGTGACTACTCTCTCTCTTACTTTTCCCATGTCCACGTCATAATAGTTAGCCAAATAACCAACCATTGGAGACGCCCTGACGCCGATGTTGTAGAGATCCTCCGATGGCTTTTCTATCGTCATTGTGGTAAAGATTCAATCTTTCGTAGAGAAAAACGGATGCTTTTGTCCTTCACCTGGATTAGGATAGAAAATGTTTCAAAATAAGAGTTAAAATGACTATCCAAAAACAGTACAACTTCACTACTAGTCTTAGAGTATGTTTGGTGAGCCAAATACGTTAGCTAGTCTTATAGCTTATTTGGTTAGCTTATAAGCTCCATGTATTAAAATAAGTCTCGTTTGGTAGGACGGACTTTTTTAAAAAGCTCGAACTTATTTCATAAGCTACTTTAGGTAGCTTTTCAAATAAACTAGTTGAATTTTTTATTTCAACTAGCTTATCAGCTAATTTACCAAACACCTTTTATCATATAAACTAATTTTTCAGCTATAAGTCATAAGCTATAAGCTCAAAAATTACATATAAGCTATAAACTAGCTTATCAGCTATCAGCTAGTTTTACCAAACATAGTCTTAACTGTTGGCTTCATAGTAAAACTGCTTAGTTTTTAAGTTAACAACAATATATACAGTTGCTTTATAATAATGACAGATTATAGCTCCAAAGAAAGGGACAAAGTTAAAAAAAAAAAATGAAATTCCTATCTTTCAGTTAATAAGGATGTAAAATTCTTGCACTATCTTACTCACTCGAACTTCAATCGAAAACCCATTTGCAGAACACAAGAATCGTAGAGCAAGCAGAAAGTATAAGTAAGCTGAAGACGCTAATTTTACAGAAAAGCCAATGCTTACCCTTTTTTCAGCGTGCTGTGCAAAAATGGACCTTGATTAAACCCTTGAACCAGCGTAGTAGAATAGAGAGGGAGGGTTTACTTTGTCCACAAAGACACTCAATCTAGAAATACGGACAGAGATCTTTTCAATTTTGTCCTCAATATTTGGTCTTTTTCTGAGTAGGCCCCTTAAGTTTTCAAGTCACACACTTCACAATTAGCATCTCACTTTGCTTTGGAGTTTTGACTATTGATCTTGATTTTGTTTACTACGTGTCTAGTTCAAGGCTTCAAAACTTTTCAAATGATAAAGCTCCAAGAAGCTCATCCGAGGTGGTAATGATCATTTGCTTTGGTGATGCAGATGAGAAATGGTGGATTATGTTTCTCTCATGGGTCATTTGCAGCTCTTCCTCCTCTGCGAACAAGAAGAAATTTTCACCCATTAGCTGCACAACTCACTGCTCCTTCAAGAACTCAAGTATCATCTTTTTCCCCTTTGATTCTTTTAGATGTTGGATGGCTTTTTGGTGTTCTTTATGGCCCATTGAGTTTTTATCTCAATATTTTTGTTTTCAGTAACTACACTTGTCTATATAGTTATGAGAAAGCTTTGACGAACTATTAGTTTATGATAGGTGAGATGTGGTCAGTATGTATTTTCTGTGATTGCCTTTGAAGTTTAATTTGGACTTTGATTTGCTGTTGTAGAGGATAATGGAGAGTATATCAGTAAGTGGGGAAGTTGGAGGTGCTGGTGGGGTTTACTCATACAATGCTTTGAAAAGATTGGATGGCTTATGGTCTAGCATTTGCTCTGCTTCACCAGGTGTGTGTAAGTTTGTGGGCTCTTTTTTTTTTTTTTTGGCTCCACCAAAGGCATGAAACTGTTAAATTTTTCTTGTGAATGTAAGGTGTGTACTTGTGGATTAGGATAAGGCTAATTTAATAGTGAATTTTATATTTTTTTTTTTATTTGTATCTCCAGTTGTCGAGGAACCCCAGAAAGTGGTATCAAACGTGCCCGGTCTATTTTGTGATTCCGATCAGGCTGAAAAAGGCGATGATGCATTTGATGTTTTAGTTTGTGGTGGCACATTGGGGATTTTTATTGCCACTGCTTTGAGTTCAAGAGGTCTTCGAGTAGCGATTGTGGAGAAGAGTGCATTGAAAGGGGTATTTAACTATTTATAGTTTGTTGCAGGCTTTTTAGGCTCATTTTGGAAATTCTGAGTATTCTTTTGGATGTTAATTCATATTTTTTATTTTATTTTTTTTTTTGAAATAATGGAAAGAGGGAACAAGAATGGAATATATCGAGGAAAGAGCTTCTGGAGCTTGTTGAAGTTGGGATTCTAACAGAAGATGACATCGATCATGTCACTGCTGCTAGCTTCAACCCTGTATGCTACTTTATCTTCCCCTTGTTATAAACATATCATAATCATATTTTGAGATTTCCCAACGTACTTCACTAAATCTGCAGAATAGATGCGGATTTGAAGGGAAGGGTGAAATTTGGGTTAATGACATTCTCAATCTTGGTATTTCGTAAGTTTACTATTGTGCCCCCGCATTACCGGGTTATTTTCTGCGCACCCACTCATGAATTCAATGGTACTTTGAACTGATACAATTACAGATCAAGTTGTATTCCGTTTCGTTTGAAAGTCAAAGAAAACTAGGACATTTGAGCTTCAATAATGTCTAATCTGTCGTTTTTGGATACTTCATTTGAAGTTCAGTAAACATATTGTTAGGATGACTTCCCAATTTTTCATTATTATTTTTCATTTTATGCTTCATTGTAAGAATTAAAATATTCAGATGATAAAAGATTTCTCCTGAAAAAGTGGCTATGAATAGTAATTACATCGGATATAGAATGCGAAAGCTTGCTTGAGTAAATACCACGATTCTAACATGTTGAAAAACCTTAGTTAATGGAGAAAAGGGACTCCAATCTCAAACCTTTTTAATCTACTTTATTTTTTTTTTCTCTTTTTTCTTTTTGTTTTTCCACACTGCAGGCCTGCCAAGCTTATCGACATCATGAGAAACCGCTTGGATTCCTTAGGTGGTGTCATATTTGAGGGTTGCAGTGTATCTCACATATCAATTTATGAAGATGCAGCTGTAAGGATAATAGTACCTTACAAATGATAGGCTATTAAATTAAGAATCCTAACTGCCATGATTCTTCATGAAGCATATTTTGATGATTTGGAATTACGTTCTTTTTTTTTTTGGATATCTATTTGTTTTCCACAGGTATTGCAACTGGCTGATGGGAAGATCTTGTCATCACGTCTCATAATCGATGCAATGGGAAATTTTTCGCCTGTTGTCAGACAAGTTCGTTTTCTTACGAATGTTTAAATCATAACAATGCATTTTTTATTTATTTGTGATACTCTTCATTAGGTGCAATTTGAAATAAGATTTCAATAGGATATATAAGTATTTGTATATACATATAGGTACATAACTATATATATATCTTGATGCATTCAAGTTCGACAGATCAGATGTGGGAGAAAACCGGACGGTGTCTGCCTTGTGGTCGGTTCTTGCTGCTGTGGTTTTAAAGAAAATACTAAAAGCGACGTGATAGTTAGTAGTGCTTCAGTAAAAAGGGTCGGACAATCTGTTGCGCAATATTTTTGGGAGGTGTAATATTTCACATATTCTGTATTTTATCATAAACTAATTTTTCGATTGCAGATTATATGTTTTTACTTTCTAAACAATCTGGGTCGAAACTTAATTTTTCAGGCTTTCCCTGCTGGCTCGGGTCCCCTCGACCGAACAACTTACATGTTCACCTATCTTTATCCGGAACCCGAGTGTCCCCTATTAGAAGAGTTGCTAGAGGATTATTGGGAGTTAATGCCTAAATACCAAGTAATATTTTTATAATGTCTTTATGGAATTTTAGAGGATAATTATTATATGAAAAGGTTGATGGATGTTTTTCGAATGTGTTTTTCAACAACAGGGTTACTTCTTTTTCATTTTAGGATAGATATGGTTCGAATTTGCATAACAAAAAGTTGGTTTACATTTTCCTTAGGAACTTCATAGAAAACCTATAAGCACTAAAAGCTAGTCGTTTTTATGTTAAAATTTACAACTTTGATTCTTGATCCTGTGTAATTTTTAACTAAAATTCACAGGGCGTGTCTCTTGATGATCTGGAGGTGTTGAGAGTAATATATGGCATTTTTCCTACGTATCGTGACAGGTAAAACTTGTAGCTTCTCTCCCAATGAATAATATAGTTTATTATTATTATTTTTTTTGGTTTAATCTGACCTTTTCTCTCTCTTTTGTTGGTAAACTCCTATGGACTTGGCCCTAAGCCCTCTGCCTGCAGCTTTTGATCGTGTTCTACAGGTGTTTTACTTTTACCAGACACTTTTTACGAATCTCGATATATTTTTACTCATTGTTCAATGAATTGCCACTGATTGTAACGTCTACAGTTTGGGGACTCAAGTGGCATACAATCGCCAGTTTCTTTCGGCGGCTTTGGGAGCTTGACAAGGCATCTCGGAAGATTATCAGCCGGTATATTCGTTTGATAACTAAAAAACAAAAACAATAGAAATGATATCGAATCTTACATTGCCTTTGTATTTGATTAATCGAGCGTCTTTAGAATGTAGAGGTTTTTGATTTTTGGACGAGTTGTCTTTTTTTACGAGGCTTAAGGAATTTACGAAGCGGTCAATGGTAATTATCTGGATGCCCAGAGCTTGTCACTTTTAAACCCATACATGGTAATTATTAATTAACTCCCTTCCCCATTCCTTCTCTGTGAATCCAAGTGGCTAAAAAGTAAAAACCGCTCTTTAACTAAACGTTGGTTAAAATTTTTTTACGTGCATAAAAGCCCAACTTGAGCGCATCCTGGTTGTTTCAACGAGCCATGTCTGCCAAAAGAGGGTCCAATGTTTCATCTACTTTTATAAATGAGCTACTACATGCCAATTTCGAAAGCATGCAGGTTTGTTTTTTATTTCCCTTTCTATTTACATTGCTCGTGATTTTTCATCCTCCCTAAAGTCTCTTGTAGTTTTATCATTGTTGTAATGTTTCTTTCTTGTAAGAAAAATAATTTGTCGATCTTTACTTCTCAAAAACATCATTATTTTTTCTCCAGAAACTCGGGGATCCAGTGCTTCGACCATTTCTGCAGGTTACACAAACACACACACGCACACATACACACATGTATATTTATATATATCAACATGTTGTCTTGATTCAATCGTTCAGCTGATTATAGAATTTTTCGAAAACTCTGTTATGTCTCGATATGTTGTTGCAGGATGTGATTCAGTTTGGTCCACTCGTCAAGACATTAGGTTTAGTGATGGTGACTCGGCCGCTTATTATACCATCAATCTTTAAGCAGGTACTTGACGAATACGCATTTTTGTACTCTACACGTTCGATTATATAGATCTAATTTTATTTTATTCGTGTCGTTTAGCAAGTGCGAAACTTGATTCGACATTTTCCATTCAGCTCGGTTAAAGTCCATTTTCTTAACCTCGAAAAACAAACTTAACTTGAATATATCACGTTCGAGTCCACTCGATTTGCTTAATCACCCTCAAGTTTTCGGAAGACACACATGAATTGTGATTATATAATCGTTCTTAAATAACTGCAGGTTGGTCTCCCGGTGCTGGTCGACTGGTCAGGACATTTTTTTATGTTGGGTTACTACACGTTCCTTTCCTCGTACATCGATCCCCTAATTAGGTAACAATGCTGATAACATGTTCGTAAAAACAGATAACCCTTTGTTAGGCAAAATTGCATTTTTAGTTCTGCTGGTTTAACGCCTTAGCAATTTTAGTCTCAAGGTTCCAACATTTCGCCTTTTGGTCATATGATTTCATATTTTGCTGCAATTCGTAAATTTCGAGATTTTCGATTAGCAATTTTAATTCCTGTAATTTAAAACTTTGTTGCAATTTTAGTCTTGTAATTTAAAATTTTATGTCCAAAAATTGAGAAGTTGGAACATTTGGACTAAAATTGTTATGTCGTCAAACTAATAGGACTAAAAATGCAATTGTTGCCCCTTTTGTTATTGTTGGACCGAGACCGAGTTTCGAGTTTTGCAGACCATTATTGAGCAGTTTTGCAGACAAGACAAGGTATGAATGGAAGCAAAAGCTCAATGCCTGGAAGTATGGAGCTGGTCTGGACTATATTTTGAACCGTACTGAGTAAAACAACATAAATTTTTAACCGTTGTGGATATGTGAAACTTAATACGTATTCAATTTGTTGAACAAGTACTTGGTCATAAGTTTGAATTCTGGTGTAAATGTTGACCAATTAACTAAATTGACTTATTAAACGTAAACGCTGACCAATTAAATAAGCATTAAGTCAAATAAATTAATTTAACATTAAATGTGAACTTTAATAATAACATTAAGGTATTATTTCCTTACAATCATTTGAACTATCTTAATATGACTATTGAATAATAAACTAATTACTACATTTAATATAAGCAATTAAAATGTAATGATCTGTCTTTAATTTATTTTAAAGCATATATTTTGAAATTAATACTCCCTCCTATCTTTTTTATTTGTCGTTCTAGCAACTAGCACTCTAATTAAAAATTTTTGTTGTTGTCAATATTACCCCTATTTAATGAAAACTACTACTCCATTAAGTAACACAATTAATGATGATTAGTGTAAAAAGTAAATGAAGATTTGTGAAAAATCAAGAGAGAGATAGAATATGAAGAGACATTGGAAATTAGATGGAGGGGTTAAAATTGGAAAAATATGAACAAAATAGCCAAAATGACATTTATTTATTCAATAGTCAATTAAGCTAGAATGACAAATAAAAAAGATAAGAGGGAGTATTACATTACTAATTAATATCGAGTGTTTTAAGTATTTTTGCGGTGCCATTTTTATTTATTTACCAGCACAGTCTCCCGCGAGATTCTGTAATAAATAAAAAATAATAATAATAAATTATCATAAAATATGGTCCAAATGGAGAAGACAAGTCTTACTTTGTCAGCTGGAATAGTCAAAAGCTGTCAGCTAAATTACAAAAATCCCATTATCCTAAATATTGCCAGAAAATTATGATCGATGAAGCTCCTCGCCGGAATCCTCTTTGCCGGCTTGCTCCTTACCGGAG